TTCTCTCCCTCAGGTTAGTCTATTCTACTCAACAGCAAGGGTTTTCAGAATGATTGATGTGTTTAGCAATGCAGTAATGTGCAAATATAATATCCTCTTGTTGGCTGAGCTATCCTGTCTATGCTGTAGTGTGTGGAGCGGGCGGTTGGCACCTCAAGTGCTTGGGCTGGTTAAGTTAGATGCATACTGCTCAACAGGTGTGCATGAAAATTAATACCATGCTTTGTCAGACCTACTTGGACCTGCACATGTTGGATCATTACTAGCTCAGACGAAGGAACTGTACTTTTGCATAAGAATATTTTAAAAGCTCTTTAGAGAGCACTTTGCAATAAGATTAGTATGGTACAAAAGATGGGTTGTAGCCTTTTCCCAATTTAGAGAAAACTTCATTAGATTTTGAGTAGATGGCAGAACTAAGGTCCATCTGCAGTATTTCATATTTCAGCTGCAATATTGAGCTGACACCATTGCTAATTACTGCACATAGTAAGAACATTTCAGTAAGGGAGGGACCTTAATGTGTAGAGTTACCTTTCCTCATCTGTGAGGGTGGCAGAATGACATATGTAGCTGGCAGTATATGCATACCTTCAGCACAGTGTGATACCTGTCCAAGAAGTATCTGTACTCAGGTCAGGTAAATTTGACTTGCCTTCATCACAAGACATCTGAGTTTGGCGTAGAGATAAAGGCAAAGGAAGTTATAGATGCTTAGTCTTGCAAAAGTGTGGGAAAATATGTTGCATTTCCTACCTGGGATGTAGGATGCACCAGCCCACCAGCGAGATGCATTTCTTCCCCTATTCCCCTATAACAGAATGGAGGGTCTCTTATATTTTGGTAATAGTAAATAATAGCGGGCTTATTTTCTCTCTAGTTACTGACAACTGTGTTTTTATGTATTGCTTCTGTTCCTTTTGTTGTTTTGTAAATATCAATATAAATCAATCTCTTATTCTCTGTTGTGTTGTGAAGGAATTGTTTGTATAATGGACTGTTAAGAGGGCCATTTAACTTCGTTTAGTTGGTCTTTGAGACAGAGCTTGTGAGAAAAGAAATGAAAGATATTCACGGTGATGTTCTGTCTAGAAAGGAATAGAGAAGTGTAAGCACTGTGATAATATTTGGAACAAATATTGGGGATATCTTGGAAAGTTACTGCTGACAGGCAGAAGCCAATACTTGCATAAAGAACGATGCTAATTCTTGTAATAAAATTTTGGCAAGCTGAACAAAAAAATGCAGGTTAATTGGTTCTATTTGAGTTTTTATACAGTTGATTGCATTTGTAACATTTCCTCTTGATTCACTGTCAACAATTGCTGGCCATGTTTTCCAAATTGCCCGATGTGTGGTTTTTGTTTTAGAACCTAGAAACCCAGGGCTGTCATTTCTAGCATACAGTCTGCTTCAGGGTTCATGCGACACCGTGAATGGCAGCTTAGAAAAGCAGTTTAGCAAGTGTCCTGTCTTTGCTGGGAAGCCCTCGCTCCCTCCCTCATCACTAAAGATCCACAGGTTGTAAGCTATTCAGACCTAGCAATGCGGGTATTAAAAGCCACGTGGGGTATTCTTGCAAGTTTAAGGAGGAATAGATGCAAATAATTGAGGCGTGTGAGCTGGGCTCTGACTACAAAACAAGAGGATTAGGTATTTCTAAACACAAGGTAGATCACCTCTTTTACCTCCTGACTGAGTGCTGAGTCTGTTCTGCAAGAGCAGGAATCCCTGATCTTCAGAGTTCTCAATGTTTGCATGTGCAGTGTTATTGGTCTGGGTGTTGTCACGGCCCAAAAAGCACACATATACCTCTTTCCAGTTCCTCTCAATAGAACTGTACATATGTTTCATAAATGCCTGTGTATTTCTGTGCAGCCACTCCGTGATTGGTTTCATTCGGCACAGATGATGTCCAGTGGTGGTTCAGTATTTATTAAGAAAATGTATTTTCACAAGAGCTTTATGATAATAAATACGTTGTGTTGCTCAAAGACTATCATGCTTTGCAGCAGATGTTGCATTTATTTCTTAAATATCAGAGAAGAGACATTTTCAGTTTAGTAGCCTCACACTAAAATTGTTCATAAGACAGTATAATTAATTTAGGGAGAACCTTGCAGTGATTAATGGGTTTATTTATGGTAAATGTGTGTTTTGACAACTGGGAGCATATTTCCAATTTCCGTTTTTAAGGTGGAGGTTTGAAGAATTGGAGGGCTCTGACACTGCAAGAAAATTATGTGATTGGAAAAAGTCTTAATTTCCTCCAAAATCATTTTTCTGCAAAGGCCTTTCATCCTGGAACGACTAAGTTAAATGCCTCCAAAGGAAGTAGGGGGAAAAAAAGCCAGCAACAAAACAACACAACTCTCACTGGTGTTATGCAACAGGGTTTTTCCTGGCTATGTCAGTTTGGTATCCCTCCTATTACTGCCGTATGAATTTATCTTCATGCTGGCTCGGTTGCATGTGGGAGATGGAAATCTCGGAACTAGGCTATGTTTAAGTTATCCTTAGTGTTGGCTTTATTTTTTTCTGGCTGAATTCTGTGCGAGGTAGACCAGTGCTTTTGTGAGTACTGAGTTGTGATTCAGGCATCTCATTGAGCAGAATGTGTGGGAATGGAGGAAAGTAATCTCTTCCTGGTGGTGTTTCGTGAAGCTGGTTTTGTTTGGTGTGACGTCAGAAATAAATTCTGAACCACGCACTAATGAAGGCTGCAGGTTTTAAGGCAACCAAGCAGTGTCAGTCCTGGACTTCTGTAGCAAATGGCCATCGACTGTGGAGGACTAATTCAGCGTGGTGTGTGTGTCATGGACTGGGACCGTAATGGAAATAAGCAGGAGGCTTTTTCTTTGTATTGTTATTTCTCAAGGTAATGGACTCTCTGGGACCGGACATCCTGCTGGAAAAGGATCGAATCCTGATTATTCAGTAAAGGAGACAAAACCCACTTCTGTAAAGTGATTTTGTCCTACAGTGGTTGATAAACATGAGCCAGAACACCTGAGGGGATGTTTTTTTTTTTTTTTTCCCAGCCAACTTTAATATGGATTCCAGAGAGTTTGTCATTCATCACATCATTCGGCTCCTTCTTGCTGTGAGGGCAAGTCCAAAGAAGCTGCTTCGTTAAAGCATTGCCTGAAGGGCTGGGGGGGTGGTTAAGTGCTTTAACTTCTGTGTGAGTTCTGGCCTGGCTGATTTCTGCACAGCAGCCTGGATCTCGGCAGCCTGTGAGGGCCTGGAGCATAGCAACACCAGCTGTGTGTCTTTGGGGCTGGGAAAAGGAGCATTAACCTGCAACCTTCATACCACCAGCTGCACGAGGGAAGGAGCCTTCCAGTTCCACCTTCATGCAAAGGGCCCTGAGACTGTGAATTGTCTTGCTTTGTGTAGACACTAAGATGGTTTGTAACGCCCAACTTTTTAGACTTGGGAATAATTATTTAGATTCGTTGTCTTGTTATTATTTTCTAAAATAATAAGATGATGTTGGTGACCATCAAGCTGAGAGCTGCTCCAGGTATTAAAAGCTAAATGTGGTTTGTTAAAGTAACTGTCAAAGTGCTGCTAATTCAGATTCAGCTGTTCAATGGACTGTTTTGTGGCAGGGGAGCAAAAGGAAAGGACCACTGCCATACTTAGTAAAATAGATTAGACCAGAAAAAGGAAAAAAATCTACCTTTTTCTGCTGACGTGGACAATCCTGTTCCTTGCAAGCTGAAGGAGACAGGAAGGCTATAGTTAAGTCCTCTCTGATGGTCCCTACAGAGCTGTTTGCAGGGTTTGTTTCTTACTTGAAGTAGTCCAGCCCCCGTGATGGTGAAGAAACAGCCTGAACAGCATCACTACCCGTCAAATACTCTTTCTGTCTGGATATTCATGCAGGGCACCTACTGAGAAGGAATTAGAATTATAAGAGGACATTTTAAAACAAGGTTGTGAGATACAGAATGTCTTACCCTAATGCTCCTTTTCCTCAGGTGGGTGTAGCATTGCTTATCCCTTGGCTTTTGAGGTTATGCTGTTCTCCTACCTGCAGTCTGCATTCCTGAAGGATAATTCAGCACTGGCTCAGGCTCCTGTTTGCCATGTGTGTGGCGATTTTCTTTCTTCATTGTTGCTGTTCTGTGTGTGTGTGTGTGTCTGTGCAGTTTTTTTTCTTTTCATCAAATGATCATCATCAGTAACGTGAGACACTTTGTTCTTAATAATTCAGGTTTGTGTGGCCTGTAAATTTAGTTTGAAATAAAACCGAAAACCCCAGAATTTAGATTCACAAACAAGAGAGCTTGTGCCTAAACTTAGTGTCACCTGTTGAAGTAACCCAGCCATTAAAACAAGCAGCTAAGTGCTGTATTTACACTGAAGTTTTAAAGGAAATCAAGCCAGCAAAGGTTAACATTTAGGAAAAAGAATTGGATTGAGCATATCCTAAATTCCCTAAACAGGACAGTAGGAGCCTTCTGTGCTGATGTGGTACCTTTGTCAGTTTGCTCAGTTCCCTTAATTCATTTAAGGCAGAAGGAAGACTGCTGGGAGAGCAGAGCAGGAGGCTTCTGCTTCCCACTTATGTATAAGGACAGGGCAAAATAAAAGTTATCTACCGATGATATGTATTTTTAAATTCAGAGAAAAGCCAATTTGATCATCTTTTCTTACATAACAGATACACTGCAGGTACTTTTAAAATTAATTTTTGCAAAAGGAAAGCGTTTTGCTATGGATTAATATAATTAATACAATTGTGAGTCTGTAGAATTTGTAACAATCACCAATAGAAAGTTCAAAAGAGAAATGAACTGTTTGCTGGAAGCATAGCCTTTATACACCATTTTAGACCTGCATGTCAGGAGAATGAACCACTGATTGATCATCTAAGGAAAGGACTGAGTCAGCTGTGGGAGCACAGGTGAAGGCAATTCCTTCTAGACCCCATCTAAGGGCTGACTGCCACTGGGGAAGGATCTCCAGAAAGAGATCCTTCCTCTCTGGAGTCCTTCCTCTCTGGAGTCCTTCCTGCAAACCGAGATCTTCACATACAGGTGAGCATTCCTTCACTGTTTGTTTCTTTTCCCATTTTCACCATGATAATCTTTCCAGCTGTAACGCCGACTGTAACGCATGTTTTAGTAGTTACCAACCAGTGACCATCCCCTAGAAAAATTATTACAAAAACAAAAAAGCCAAAAGACTGATTTATTCAGACCAGGGCTTCCTGTCTGGTAATTTTAATCCTGATTAAAATCAGCAATTTAAATGACTTTGATTTATATCAGGCATTCTGTCTTCAAACTAAGTGGGAACAGGATGGGGCTTCAGAGCCTCTACCATTTAGTGCTGCACATATTCCATCATGAGTCATTTAGCCAGCAAATCTGGTATGTCTGTGCTTCCTTTGCTGTGCTTCTCAGCTCAAACATCTACCTTTGAGGGTTTTTTTAAATGTGACCCTTATGCCAGAATAAGGAAAGCGTTGAGGAGTTTAATGGTGTAATTCAGATGTAACACAGCACAAATATGAAACTTGTGCAGAAATAAATATTTTGTACTGTAAGGAAACAATTCAGGGAGTCCTTGCTGAGTCTTTCTAACGAAGGGCACTGAGACTTTGCCCTCACAGTCCCTTTTCTAAATCTAGCATGAAATTGTAGGAGCAAATGGTGCTTTTCATACTCCAGCCTCTGGATCAGATAGGCTTTGTCCGTGCTCAGATGTGAGGTGGTGAAGGTGCTCCTAGTGGTCTTTGGAGCAGACTTAATGAATGCACTGTTCTGCTACCTGGGGTCAATTGGTTACTTTTGTTTAGCTAAGCTGACTGTTTTGCAAGCATCATAATGATTTTTTTCTTGCCAGCTGCCGTTTTGGAATCATTTGTTGTTTTATGAATTAAAAGCAATGGAGAAAGATAGAATGCTGAAGTAAAACGCAGAATTGTCAATCTGAATTGTGAACTGGTGGTCTGTGATCAGTAGGCATTGGAAAGGCAGTGTTGCTTTGGTGGAGGATTATGAAAAGCGCTTGATTTTTCTCCTACAGAGTTACTACTGTTTCAGACATTGTGACCAAAGAAGTATGTGTGTATAAGTTTGGGAATAATGCCCCAGATTTCATTCTACCATGTTAAGCTTGAGTTAATTAGCAGATGGCTTTGAGGGTTGTGAAATGTTGATATCATCTCCAGAGCCTTAGTTTAGTGCTAAGAACATGAAAACCAGACATTGAAAGAGGAAAAAGTCAAATGCAATCATCAGGAAAGCTTCAAGTACTGATGAAGGTGAGTGCAAGCTTCCCAGTTGCATTGGTCAGCTGCTGTTCAGCAGCTGCTAGCCTGTTTTGTTGAAACACGTCTTTCTATATGGTCTCACCATGATTATTGTCTCTGTTTAGATATACATTAACAGTAAAATTATTAATAGTGTTTGAGACATGTTTCCTTACCAGTGAGTTTGAAATCTGTTGCTGGAGACCTTATTCTGAGAGCTTTCCTTAGGTGGACATGGGTAGGAGATAAGAGTGCGTTTGGTAGTTCCTTGAGGAAATGCATATTTGTGGGGATAAAAGAAAAGAAATAGATTGGCAGATGTCTCGCTCTTTTCTTTGTATAGTTCTTGCTGCAGTAAAAATCAAAGAGAAGCGAGGAGGCTTAACCTTTCCCAGCAGTTTTTTTGTTCAAGAAGTTTGTGGCTTGGTTTGGGAACTGCTTTGCACACCTGGGATGCAACGCTGATCGATGTGAGTAAGAAGCATGGTTCATTTTGGGTTTAAGCAATAAGATTTTTTCACTGCACTGCATGGAGTTGTGCAGAGAGGAAGATGAAGCACGTGGTCTGAGGTTGCATTTAACAGAAGTGACTGAAATGAACAGTTAGTTTGAAAGGTTACGTACTAATAGATAGCATGGGATGCAGCTTTGCAAAAAATGCTAATCTAAGTCTGTGTTTGTCTAATAAAAATATAATTGCTACTGTTGCCACTTTTAGCACTCCTGGGAGATAATCTAGCAAATATAGCAAATGCTGTCTTCTGTGGACAAAACCAACCTTCATGTTTTGGGAATGATTTCAGGGTGATTTGCTAAATTGAATCCCCTGGGCCGTATTGGAAAGTGCTAAGCTGGAAATCGCTGGAATATCATGACCACTTTTGATTTGTGAACACACGTGGAAGAGATAACATTTTTCTGGTTTGCTCTTTGCAGTTAGATATGAAGTGCAAAACAATGCAGTGTCTTTGAATGCTTTTTTTTTTTTTTTTTTTCTTTCACCTCAGATTGTATGATTAGGAAAAAAATAGCAAATCTCAGCTGTAACCACCCTTTCCTTTCTAACTATGGAAAAAGTTCAAAATCTGATAGACTAAATATAGAATTTCTAAAATTGGACTGTGGGAAAAATGGGAAAATGATGACATGTAACAGATGAATGTAGAAACATTTGTGTGGCTTGGTCTCCTTTTCCCAGTTACATTTGTATTAGGATGTAGACAGATCGATCTACTCTGTTTCTTTTCAGACTTGCATGGCACCAATCTTCTGCATAAAATGAAGTCTGGAAAAATGAGTCACCATTGGTTCTTCTGCAGGAATAGAAGTGTATGTGTAAGGACTAGAAATGGTCTGCCAAATTTCTGTAGTTAATGGCGTCTGGAAGGTTCATGGGCCTCCTGTGGCCCAGATCTGACCGGCATTCACAGTTGATTCCAAAATCTTGTCTTTCTGTGATATTTGGACCAGATTCCCCCCCTTCCCCCTCAGGTATGGTGGAGAACATAATCTGTGCTCTACATGTGTAATCTTAATACATTTGTTTTTAATTTAGTTACTAAAAGTGAGAGACCGAAATGGGGAAGAAAGTTGTCTCCTGTCCCTAGGGAAAAGTTGCTGCTGTATTTACTAGAAAACACTTCTGAAGATTGAAAGTTCAGTTAAACACAAGATTTTCTCTTGATACTCACAGGTATCTTAACTCCCAGCTAATCTGGTCTGAGGACTGGTCCAGCAAAAACCTGGAACAGGTTGTGTGGGCTGGCGGAATGCATTCCAGTCAGATGAGATTTGGTACTTTCACACCTGTAGGCAGGATTAGGGTTTAATGTAAGAAATGTTAATGAAAAATATGAAAATTTGCTAAGAGGGCCGTCTGTTATGGATGGGGAAAGAGAAGAGGAAGGAAATGGCTCCTGCACTGATAGTGCCTAAGTGTTCATTAAGTCAGGGTGGAAAGAGGAATTAAACAAGTAGACTTATTTATGAACATTTAGGGTCATAGCTTTACAAATAGTGGCTCACTAAGAATAAAACCACAGGATATATTTCTAGGAGAGTCTGAAGTAGTGCTGATTTGCAGAGAAGGTTTTGTTGGTTTCTCCATAGCCAGTAGCCTGTTGCATAAGTCTTCACCTTGGGCAGAAGCTGGGCTTTTCCAGGGGAGGTGTCTTTGGCAGCCTGTAATTTAATACCTCTCATTACTCATTAGCAAAGGCATCCAGGTTCATGTTGTAGGTGTTTCCCTTCAGTCAGACTTCACTTCTGAAGACACGGTTGGTTGTCATTTGTGGCTTTCTTTACAACTAATATTAGTTTACTTGTTGACGTACAGGAATGGTCACTGCTGAGAATTGTTGGTTGTGAAATAGCGCCTGTTTTCATTGGTCAGATGTGTTAGTGGTTGTATCTTAGAGAAATTTTTGTTCATTGGAAAAGTTTTCGTGAATCCTTCTCTGCTGTGTATATTCTTTAGGACTGATCTGATGTCTGCCATAGGAAGACAGGGAAATAATGTGAGGGAAGGAAGGCTGCACCTTGCCTTTTAGGAAGGGGGCTTGGGGATTTCTTTATTTCTGTGGAAAGATTGAAGATTGATTTAAAGCTGCAGGCTCACCAAACTGTATACAAGTACTCGATCTCCAAAGCATAGCTTAATGTCACTTTTTGTCTTTTGCAGTTGACAGAACCATCCTTCATACACATTTAGGAAAGAAGCATTAAAAGGGAATTTCACTCCTTTAAGTCTTCATGTATCAGTTGTACTACAAATGATGCCTTATTAGAAAGGTCTTGTTGAAGCAGCTGGATGTCTTGGTTTCAGCAGGAGGCCAGAGGTGTGAGAAGCTTCCTGTGGGATGAGCTAAGAAAGGGTTGGTGCAATCAGTCCCAGCTGCAATAAAGCCATGGTTTAGCATCTGCATCAAGCTGGCAAGCCCATGCCATCCTTGGTCTTGTGAGAGTTCAAAATGTAAAGGAAAGTGCAGGATGTGTTAACTGGGGTGCTTCTTTTGTTTGTTTAAGCAACAGGTTGGTGTTGGTAGGTTGATGTAAGGCCTTGCAGACAAGGGGTTGTGAGCACAGGATGCTGCATCTGTATGAGAATGAATTTGAATAAATTAAACCTGGGAGGCTAATAAATAAATAAATACCACCACAAAAGTGCAGTTAAGTACTTATTAACACGTGTACTGACAGTGAAGCTGGAGATGTCTAACTGACATGTCCAGTTGAACGTGATTGTCCAGGTGAACATGTATGTGACTTGCTGTTTGTGAGCTTGTGGCTTGTTAATACAGAAACTGACACTGTTCTAAATGTGTGGTTACGTCTGTACTGGGTTTATCTGAACACACCTCGCTTGGCAAAGCAGGTACTGAGCACCAGATCTCTCCTCTTGCCAGCTGCGGCATTGGCCTGCAGCTGCTTTGAGTGTGTGCAGAGGATGCCTGTACTTACAAAACAGATGCACAGTAGATGAGGAAGTGCATGATATACAGATGTGGCTCTCTTAGGTCGCTGGTTTTGGCGTTTCTCTGACAGTTCCCCTCATTTTTGAGGGTGATTCACGTTTCTCCTTGTTTTTTCTTCTGCCTACTGTGTTCGTCTCATTTTGATTCCCTGTAGTCTTTATGTATAAATATATGAAGCCAGATAGGTAATATCTATGTTACGTAAGATTTCCTGACCAATATGTTGCCCCGCTTCAACTGGTAGGATTTTGCTCTTGTGAAGTCTAGAGGCTCACTGGGTCAGAGTGCTTTGTTTAAAGTCTATTAGCCACGGGAATAAGAGGAAGAGTATTAATAGGCCAAACACCTCAGCAGAGTGTGAGAAGAGCCAAGAGCTCTGCTATCAGGCGTTTGTTTTTCTGCCCCCATGTTTTCGCACTGAGTTGCTGCTTCCAGGCCACCAGGTTTCCTTCTCATTCTGACCTGTCGACCAGCTGGCCCGTTGCCGGTAAGCTGCAGAGTAAAATCTTTGGTGAGGACTGTGTCTGCAAGGTGTGTGCGTGGGATCCCAGCAAGAGCAGTGCATCCCGCTGTGCTCCCCTCCCCCTGTGGTACTGCACTTGACAGGGAATTAGGTCCTCGTGGCAGCTGCAGATATGAGTTAGCCTTGGGCACCAGGAGCCGCGTCACCATATGGAGGCCTTGAGAGTGGGGAAGTAGAGGACAGGGAAGCTGAGGACAGGAAGCAAAGCTTTCTATCTGCTGCTCCTGCTGGTCCTCCTGACTTCATCAGAGGCACAAAGCACCAAGATGACAAGATTTATGCATAGGTAGGGTTTGTGACCTTTCCTTAGTCTGTTTGTGGAGTGATGTCTCGCTCCAGACCAGCAGTGTTCAGCGCTGACAACACCTTTATCCCCCTGCAACATTTTTTTAGTCTGTCCCCAGGCTCAGGCCAATTGGTATGGAGATGTACTGCCTGGTGCTTCCACTGCGTGTTTCTCCTCAAGGTATCCTTGGTTTTCAGATCTACTAGAATTTGCTAGGCCAGATGCTTGTTGACTGCATCAAAATTCAGCAAGGCATGCTGGTGTGGCCCTTGGCTTGACTGTGCTCAAGTCATCCCATGTAGGGAAAACACTCAGGTCGTTATGAGTGAAACAGCCTGTCCTTTCAAGCTATTAAAAAGATCATTAATTCTGATTATTTTTTTTTTCTGACTGTGGATTCATAACTGTGACCAGAGCTCGCATTTCATTGCAAATTGGTAATAATTAGAAAAATACGTTCTTAATGAAAACTGGAGCATGAAGTAAAGAAAGAGCCTAATCCTTGTACTTAGCTAAACTGTTCTTGTGGTTTCTGGATTGTTATGTCAATTTTTGCAATGGCTATGGGTACCTGTTCATTTACTGACCATTTCATTAACAGTGGCAGGTGTCAGACAAATTCAACTTTTGTCTCCCTTTTGGACAGCACGTCTGCTGTGCATTCTGCGCGGGGATATTTATCTCAGATTAGCAGTGATGGATAGAGCTGGCATGCTTCTATAGAAGAGAATTGGTTTTCAGGCTCTACCTATTGGTTATGCATCTCCTGTATGAATTAATAGGGCTTTAGTGAGATTAAAACCAGGAAGCAGCTCCTCACTCTTTAGAGGTCAGATGTCGTACAGAGGAACTCCAAAAGGGTACTGGTTCATGGCTCCTACGAGAATGAAAATGTGTTACTTGCATTGATTTGGCCCTTGGAAGGGAGAAAAAGGAATCTGGGCCATGAGCTTGAGAGGCAGGGTCCAAATCTCCTTTGAAGGGGCTCTGAAGTAAAGCATGTTTGGCACTCCGTCTAACTACTGTTTTTCGAGCCGATGCTGTGTTTTTTGATAGCACTGACATACAAAGACAACAGTAGGGGAAAATACGCTGCAACAGTAAGACTTAAAGGGGATAAGGAAAGGAATCTATTTGAGAGACTGTAGCTCTGCATTGGTGAAATAAAAAACTGTCTGAGGATGTTGCCTACCTCTTAGTCATGGAAGAATTGCCCAGCTTCCATTCCGGGTAGCTGGCCTTGCTTAATTCTTTGTTGGGGGACGCCCAAGATGAGCCATGGTGTTGAAGGAAGCGTTATTCGCAGTGCTGTAGGTGGCACCCTTCCCTTTGAGATGGTGCTGAACCAGTGCCAGAAGGAAGGGGTAGGGGGCACTGCCGGTAGCAGCCCCAGCCTGAGCCTCTGCAGGTGCAAGCCTGCAGGTGTGCCTCATTTACGCCAGCAGAAGTCTCTCCCTCTGTCTCAAAACCATGGGGTGAAAGCGGGGCCTTGGCTGCTTGTCGCTTGTGAAGGTTGCACAGCCCATCCTCTGTGGGATGTGTTGTGTGGCTGAACCTGCTGCCAGGCCGTGCCCGCTGCCCTTAGCGAAGCGGCCCCGAGGTTGGCATGGGCAGCGTTGGCTGTGCTAAGCTTTGGCACGGCCATGTCTGGACACAGGGTTCAGATTGGGCTCTACTGAAGCATAAAGATGCTTTTGCGTGCCTTGGTTGTAACATTTTGTTTAGATGATGTGTTAAAAAGATGGGCGCTGAATAGCGGCATCGCTTCTCCTGAAGGTAATTTAGCCACAAATGCAGGAGGTGATATCCAGAGGCATGCTTGGACTACATGAGGCCTGAGGGTCTTCAGCCCTATTTATGTTCTTGTAAGTGGGGACTGAAAAAGACTGACTTTTTATTTACCTTGTGGCTTGGGAGCTGAGAGTGAGGACTTGGGAGCCTGGGCACACAGTCGAGTTACTGTCTGTCAGCTGATCCCTGGTAACAGTGCATGGCAAACACGAGGAGTGCTGTGAA